GTTTATGCCAGGTTGTTAAATGCTATCTAAATATTTCCTTCATAGCCTGATAAAGAACTCCTGGTATATATAAGTCATTTTTGCTTTTTACTTTTGCAAAATTATTCTGTTGTTTCAGGTATTTGTGTATTTATTGTCTCTCTCTTCTCTTTAATGAATCGGTGTTTCATTTTTAATAAATTGGGAATGTGGTAGAGCATATTACAGAACTAAAAACAAAATTCATGCATATGCAAATAACATATCAATCTTAAATACTTTTTCTGAAATGACTGATATTTTGTTACTTTAAATGTTTATTGAGACAAAATGAAGCCTTGTACTATGTGCACTTTTCCAAATGCAAAAATAATAAGAATAAAATGAGAATGTGATCATAATTGATTTTACATTTCAAGTTTATCACCTATATCTGAACAAAACTGTTTTCTTAATTTTTCATCTGAAACTACCATATCCCTCTTTCTTATTTGAACTGCTGGTGACTAAAGCTTAAGAGATTCTGCAGGAGTATTTAGTAACTCACTTGGATGTCAGACTTGTGTCATAGCTCTTACACTTTTAGTTTTTTACAATATTTAATGAGTAGTTGAGTGCAATAGTGTATTTCATGATGAACTTTCCGTTGCTAGTAGGGTGATATTTTTTTTCCATTTAAATTTTAATTTGAGAAAATTGTAAATTCACATACACTTGAAAGAAGTAACAGAGTGATCCTGTATATCCTTTATGCCATTTTCCTTGGCGGTAAACATCTTGCAAAAATATAGTACAGAATCACAACCTGGGTATTAACATTGATACAATCCACTGATGTTGTTCAGATTTCTCCAGTTTCATTAGAACTTACTTGCATGTGAGTATATGTAGCGTGTGTAGATGTGTGTATGTATTTAGTTCTGGGCAGTTTTATTGCATGTTGTCTCATGTATCTACCACTTAGTGTCTGTCAACACAAGAATCCCTCACAGTATCTTTTTTAGAACATACCTACTTCCTTTATGGTTCAGTGGTAAAGAAACCTCCTGCAGCCCAGGAAATGTGGGTTTAATCCCTGGGTCTGGAAGATCCCCTGGAGAAGGAAATGGCAACCCACTCCAGTATTCTTGTCTGGAAAATCCCATGGACAGAGGAACCTGGTAGGCTGCAGTCCTTGGGGTTGCAAAAGAGTGAGATACAACTCAGTGACTAAACAACAACAACAGCAACAACATCTCCCAAATACCCTTATTCCTTTCTCATCCCGTCCTAACCCTTGACAATCACCGATCTGTTCTTTATGTAATCTTACAATTTTAAGAATGTCATAAATGGACCATTTAATTTAAGGTAACTTTGATATGTTAGTGCCTATTTTATATTTTATATATATTTTATATATTTTTATATATATATATACTTTTTTTTTTATTATTTTTGTTTGTTTCCTGTTCTTGGGCCTCTGTTTCTCTTCACTTGTTTCTCATGGGTTAACTTAACAAGTTTTAGAATTCAGTCTTGATTTATTTATAGTGTTTGTGAGTGTATTTCTCTGTATAGTTTCCTTAGAGATTGTTTTGGGTATTAAAATATACATAAGTGACTTGTCTGTCTACTAGTATCAACATTTTACCACATCAAGTGAAACATGGAAACTTTGCTCTGATTTACATCCCTCACTTTCCCCACTTCTAAATATCATTGTCGTGAGTGTCAGATGATGTTATAGTTTTTGTTTCCTTCATCATATATTATTTGTAAGCCTGAAAGAGGAGGAGAGTTTATTGTGTGTACTCACATATCTGCTTTATTTGTTCTTCTTTCCTGATGTTCCAGTATTATTTTATCATTTCATTTGACTGAGGAATTTTCTTAAGCCATCCTTTAAGGAGAGGGCCACAGATTTCAAAGTCTTTTAGTTTAGTTTAGCTTTTTTTTATAACTAAAAAAAAATTTTTGGCTGTGCCACATGGCATGTGTGATCTTAGTTCCCTGACCAGGAATTCAGCCCACACCACCTGCAGTGGAAACATTGAAGTGCTGTGTCTTAACTACTCAGATGCCAGGGAAGTCCGTGTATTTATGTCTTATACACAATTTGGATGTTTTCAGCCACCATTTTTAAAAATAGCTCTTTCAGGTCTGTTCTCTTTTTTCTCTTCTTGTGGGATTCCAGTGGTACGAATGTTGGACCAATTGTTCTTGTCCCAAAGGTTTCTTAGACTGTTTTTTTCTTTCTTTTTTTTTTAGTTTATTTTCTCTGGTGCTCAGATTGGGTAAAGTTTCCTGCTACATCCTCAAGTCTACTGATTCTGTCCTCTGTTATCTCTACTACTGAGTCTGTCCAGTTAACTCATATTTGTTCCTGTATTTTCCTTTCTTCCTTCCTTCCCTCCTCTCTCCTTCCCTCCCTCTCTTCCTTCTTTCCTTCCTTCGTCGCCTCACCTTTTTTTTTCTTTTTGCTGAGATTTGTTGTTTCAAGAGAACTTGTAGTTGCTTGTTGTAAGAGTTAGTGTCGCTTGACTGATCTGGTTGCCAACATGACAAGTTATTTTTTTTTTTTAGTATCTTGGACATTTTGGCTTTTATATTGGGAGTCTTTGAGTCTTACTGAAATCTTCTATTTTAGCAGGTCAGTCACTCTGTTTAGGTTTAGCATTAAGACCTTGTGGTGGGATCTCCTTTCCAATCTCAGGCCTTTAGGGAAAGTGGAACTCTTCTCCTGTCCACTTGTGAGCAGTGTTTGGTGAGTCCATCTTGCTGGTGCTTCTAGTGTCATCTGCGGCTATCCATGGGGGTTCCTCTTCAATTTGCAGGAGGAATAAGCCTACCTGAGTTGCTTTTTATTGCTGGGTTATGAGTTGAGAAATGCTGGGCTGACTAGCCTTCTTTTGTTGGGATGGAGGTAATGAGATATCTGATAGTCTTGGAGGCCCTAAGAATCAGCGTTCCTCCTTACACCTTTCATATTTCTCCTGTGGTTGTCTTTGGGACTGTTTACTGGTTAGTGGGAAGGAGAGGGAGAAATTAGTCTATACCAACTTTTAAACATTCGGTGTGTTAATTTTTTTAACTAAATTTCCTTAGTTGTAAAGAAAGGATAGCAATAGTAAACTTTAAAAGGTTTCATATTATCAAATGAGCTAGTGAGATACTCCCTGAGACATAATGTATACTCTAGATAATGATGCTATAGCTGATTGCCAGGTTGCTTATTGCATCCTTGTTTTTAAGAACAAACTGAAACTCGAATGAGTCACAATGTAGGATTGTTTAAGTTATCATCAATACAATAGAATTTAGCTAATGAAAGTGAAAGCAATAAATGAGATGTGAAAAGATGCCCAGATGTTTTGTTAAGTGAAAATATAGTTGTAAAATGGCATGGTTTTTTGGTACAAATATTTATAGATATGTATGTACATGTAAGTCATATAAATTTGTCCTGTCTGTTGTAATACAGTATTCAGAACTGTAATTTCAAAATAACCTGAACATAACCATTTGTGAAAAATACCTCTAGATAGTGGGGTAGGGGAGAAGGACACATTAACTGTTGCATTATATACCTCTTTATTGCCACAGTATTTTTTAGTAAGAAGTAGTTTTATCTTTTTTTATTAAAAGAGAATGTATAGAAGCATGAAAACTTGCAGTTTGGCTGTATATAAGCTTTAATAAGTGGTTGAAGAATATTAAAGGAATGCCTGTTAGTTACAAGAATACTCTGAAATTTCTTTAAATATGTTTAGTTTTCTCTGAGTAAAATTGACTTTAACAAATCTTTTCTGATACTTCCTTTATGACTACTCTTATGATTGATGAAGTATCATATTCTTTACTACCTTAAAATTGTGTGAATGTAAAGAATTTTTAAGCATCATCTTTATTTTCTGTTACTTGCTTTGAGTATTTCAATGAGCTGTCTAGGATGCCAAAGTTTAGGTGACAAAGTTAGAGGGAAGATGCAAGTGTGATATGATTGGATACTTAAAGACTAATAACAGATTTCTGTATGGTTGCTCTTTATAAATTCCTTTCAGGCCAAAAGATATGTATTTTTTCATTGGCATATTCTCAAAAGCATGCCTTGCATATGATTAGAACTTGTGTCAGTGAATTTGCTATAGAAACGAGAATCCCTTCTAGATGTATCAAGTAGAATGGGACTTAAAATAGGGAGTTAATTACAGTAGTACTAGAGACACCAAAATGAGGGAATTAGTCAGAAATCTGGAGCTGCTGCATACCCAGGCTGGAACTTAGGACCACGTTTGTAATTGAGCTGCTAACAGTAGATGCTGCTTCTGCCCCCGAGCAGGTGCCGTGCCTGCTTCTCTTGCTGTAAAACCACCACTGCCAGTGCCCAGTAGCCCCCTACCTGCTCCTGCTGTTAGAGAAGAAAGAAAGTAGAATGCCTGTCTTCCGTTTGCCTTCTGTCCACTCCCAAGTACTTTCATTACTTGAAACTGATGGTAACACAGCTGTCAAATGAGTCTTGGGAATTTAATTTTTAGGTTTTTATCAGTAATACAAAGGACTCTTAGACGGGATAGTGAGACTCATAACCAAGAGAGAAAAGCACGTAGCTCAGTGCTAAAAATTGTGAAGATAAGAGTCTTATCTTTTTAGTCTTTATAATGTTGGTGACTAACTCAGCCTGTAACGTAACAATCTCTCATGAACTTTTACTAAATCTTTCTTTTTTCAGGGTTATTACAGATACAGAAATATGTGTGAGAATAAGGTTTAGTTTTTTCTTGCACATACAAAAAATTTGACATTTTCAATATTTCAGAGTTTAATTAAAATCTACAAAGAGACCAGTTTTACTCACCTTTGGTCTTTAGCACCCAACATAGTAACTAGCACGTATTTAATACTTTAAAAAAATTAAATTATTATTAGGTATGCTTTACTCATACAATGTGGTATTAGAATGAACTAGCTGGTAGTTTGGTGGTATATTGGTTTTTTAAAAATACTATTTAAGTTCACATTTTATCTTCTTTCTCTTATAGCATCAAACACTTGGCTTGTTCCGGAAACTAAAGGAGCTATTGTTCAAGGGGGATATGGCCATAGCAGTGTGTATGACGAAATAACAAAGTCCATTTATGTTCATGGAGGCTATAAAGCGTTACCAGGCAACAAATACGGATTGGTAGATGACCTTTACAAGTATGAAGTTAACCCAAAGACTTGGTGAGTAGATTGGGTTGAAGTATGATGGGAAAATTGGGCACTGTTCTATTTTATATTTGTATAATAGTGGTGTTTATTAAATATTTTCAAGGAGGTATTCTTGACTTTTTTCCATCTTTTTTCAACTAATGATATTCTATTATGTAGCAAAGGCACCACATAATACATTTTCTGTGTAGCCATCTTTACAGTAAATGATTGACTTACAGTATTTTCCAGTCCTATAGATAGTCTTGTTCTGTATAAATCACTCATAAGTGCTGATACTGTGTGCAGTTCAGAAGAGCAGTTTTCTTACCAATATATCTTTGAGTTTTGACATTATCTGTACTGAGATTTGTTCATCTTTACAGTCATATGTTATAGTCAGTTGTAAATTTTAAAAGCATTTCTTCAGTTTCATCGTCTAATTTCCTGTGAAATACAAAGCTGTGACATTTAGGTAAATTTTCTTTTATTGTTGTTATAAATAATACTACAATGTACATCTTGAACCAGTCATTTTACATAAGCAAGAGCTTCTGTAGGGTCTATATCTAAAAGTGAAATTGCTGTATCTGAGGATGTTCACATCCTCATCTTTAGGACACATTTAGCAAGCCTAATTGCTTTTCGAGTCACTGTGGTAATGTACCACTTCCTCCAGCAGGGTATCAGTGTTCTTGTTTCTTCATAGTCCCACCAACGCTTGATAATTATGAGGATATTTTCCTTTCACCAGTGCAATGAATGTGAATGGTATTCTACTGATATTTTAATGTGCATATCCTGATTGATATAGTGAATAAGCATATTTTTATGTGTTCATTTGCACTTGTGTTTTCTGTTTAGTGAATTGCTTATTCACAGCCATAATTTTTTCTTTATGTTTAAAATATTAATTTTTCATTTATTGATTTTTCTATGTATATGAGTTTTATTGACCAATATGCTGTGTTTTATATAAAGTTTTTATTATATTTGGAAAAATTTCGGCAGTTATTTCTTTTTAAAAGTTTTTGTTGAAGTATAATTGATTTACAGTGGCGTGTTAGTTTTAAGTGTACAGCAAAGTGAAGCACATATTCACTCTTTTTTTAGATCCTTTGTGTTGTACTCATTTTCTTTTCTAAGATCTGAAAAGTGACCAGTTTTTTGTTCTGAGATACTTAACATTCTTTTAAACTTAAATGAAATTAACTATATTTTTAAATGAAATACAGTTTTCCACTGAATTGTGATTTGTCCTGTCCCCTTCACTTTCACACATATATTCTAATTTTTACTTTACTTGAAAAAAAAGAAAGAATTAAAGAAAATGAAGACTTTTCCTTTGAGTAGCTTTGCTAATTTAAATTTTTTGTTTTTAGTTTAAATAAAATGCAGTGTTATATTTTAGTAGATAGGCTACTTTGCTGAACTTTTAGAAAATGTGTATTTGGAGAAATTATTTTTCAGTGGTGAAGTTGATTATTCTGGACTATAATTTTCACTTAGAAAATTTAGAAATTACCTCTTTTTAAGGCATGAGAGGACTATAAAGGCAGTAAGAATATATTGGTCAAGATTTAGGAGAGGTAAATGACAAAGGAAGTATGACTGGCATTTTGTACAACTGTTGTTCTTGAGACAGTTGTGAATCCTAAAAACTTCCTGAGAAACTGAGCAGAACTTTTGTCAATCAATATGGAGGACCAAATTGTATTTCTAGGTGTGTCAAGGAAGAGAGATCTTATTACATACTTAAAGATGTACTCTGGTCCCTGAGGTTCTAAACCTAAGAGTGAGGATAAGTTTATCTTTGAAACATCATGATCTTTGATTGGATTATGGTGATCTGCCCATGGCCTAAATTGGTGACAGCAAAAGTAAATCCTCTCTTGAGTAAAATAGTATCATACAGAGGCTCAAATTAGTTCATTTACAATATATGTTGCAGAACAAAAAATAATAAGTCTTAGAAAAAGAAAAGCCACGAAAAAAACCCAGCCATTTGAAATATACCAATAGGATAATGGTGGTTTCATAAAGAAACTATAAAATGATTAAGATTTTATGATCGAGGAAGTAAAGGTAGGAAAATGTTGACAGACAACTGGAAACTTATACTGACTTGATTACTGAATAATCAAGTAGAAATTATAGAACTGGAAAATTGATTATTTACAAATTCTTTGGATATGTTTTACAGCAGGTTAGACATAGCTGAGGGGGAGGTTAGTCAAACAGAAGATGGGTCATATTGAAATGAAGAAAGACAAAGAATGAAAAATAAAAGAGGGAAAGAAATATGAGGAACATGTGGCAATATTGTAGCATGCATGTGATTGAAGCCCATTAGAGGATTGAGAAAATAATGTAGAGCACTATTTTAAGTCTCAAATGCCTGAGAATTTTCAAAAGTGACAGAAGATGTCCACCTACAAGTTGAGGAAATTCCATGAGTGTGAAGGGGTGAGTACAAAGAAACATACACTTAGAAATATCATTGTAAAACTGATGAAAACCCAGATAGAGTGAGGAAAGCCACCAGCGGGGGAAGAGACATACTCTCTTTAAAGACTGACAACTGATATTTTTTTAACTGGAAAAATGGAATCTAGAAGACCATGGTGTCTTCAAATGGCTGAAGGAAGATAATCATCTGTCCAAAATTACCCAGTGAAAAACCCTTAAAAAACCAAAACAAAGAATAGACTTTTCAGAAAAGCAAGAATTGAATTTGACAATAGCAGGTCTGCAATACAGAAAGTACTGAATAAATAAAGAAAATTCTATTTAAGTAGAAGAAAAATAATCCTGGATGCTGGAGGGAATAGAGAAACGGGAAGGGTAAATCTAAGTGATTATTTATTGTGAAATAGTATAATGGTAGTTATGAAAAAGCCCTCTATGTCCAACAAGTGAATAGAAGGAAAAATGAGAAGACCACTTAATGCATTTGGAAGAAAACAAGAAAGGAATGGAAAGGGAGCGAAGTAAAATTGGGACAAATATAAAGGAAGATGGTTTCGTGGTAATTGCTTCCCTGGTGGCTCAGAGACGGGTTCGATCCCTGGGTCAGGAAGATCCCCTGGAGAAGGAAATGGCAACCCACTCCAGTACTCTTGCCTGGAAAATTCCAAGGACAGAGGAGCCTGGTGGGATACAGTCCATGGGGTTGCAGAGAGTCGGACACGACTGAGCTACTTCAAAGCTTTCACTTCCATAATGGTAATAGAGGCTTAAATATATCAAAATTTAAATGCTTATTAATAGCAGCACATGACTCAGGAAGAAGGGTAAATGTTGTTCAGTGTTTCTAAGGTCTTCATATTATGTGGGAATTAATTAGAAAACTAATTTAAAGTGGACATAAATAGTTAAGAATTTATATTGTAATCATTAGGTAACAAAAAAACACTCTATGTTCAACAAGTGAATAGAGGGAAAAATAAGAAGACTACTTAATGCACTTGGAAGAAAACAAGAAAGGAATGGAAAGGGAACAAAGTAAAATTGGGACAAATATAAAGGAAAATGGTTTAATTAACTCCAAATATGTCATAATTGCACTAAAAGTGAGGAAGTAAAGATTCCAGTTACACTAAATGTAAGAGACTAAATATTCCAATCAAAAGCTAAAGATTTTTAGACTGGGTATAAAAATTAAAACCTAGCCATATGCTTCTTAGAAAATATACACAAAGTATAAAGTTATTGAGAGCAATTGAAAGTAAAGGGTTGAAGAAAGGTACATATTATGCAATCATGAAACAAAAGATTGTTGGTATAATTATATTACTATCAGACAAATAAGAATTTAAGTCAGGCATATGCCTGAAAAATATAATAGTTCTGAATTTGAATGTACCTTATAACTCTATGTTAAGTAAAGCAAAACTGACAGAAGATGGGACAAATCATAGTATGATGTTTTAAACCCAGTTATTTTGGTAACTGATAGTACTTGAAGACTAAAACCCAGGAAAGAGAAAAGATTTGAAAAGCTCAATTTATAATTTTGGGGCTTTTTGATATATGAGCACGTATTATCTTATGACTGCAGAATATATGTTGTTCTTAAGTACGTAGGGAACATTTTTCTAAAATTTACCATATACTGGGTTTTAATGCAAGTCTAAAGAAATTTAAAAGAGTGAAATCATACTAAGTAATTAACCACAGTGAAATAAATAAAAAGTAACTAGAAAAAACTCCAGGATGTCTGTAATTAATAAACTCCTTAAAATTGGTTAACTAAATTATGCAGAAAATTAGAAAACATTTGTGCTGAATAATAGCACAAGATTATGATGCTGCCAATGAAGACATTTATAACTTTAAATGCATTTTTTAGAAAATATTTTAAAAAGCCTGAAAATCAGCTGGTCTAAGCTTAACCTCAAGAAGTCAGAAAATAAGCAGCAGATTAATTTCAAAGGAAGAATAAAATGAATAAAGGTAGAGGAAAGACAATAGGAGATAGAGTACAAATTAGTGTGAAATAGAAAACAAACATGTGATAGAGATATAGCCACCAAAAATCAGCAAAGGTGGGTGGTTGTGGAGATAGATCCCCACCCAGATTTAGAAACAGAGATCACAGTTGGCTTTCTATATGTGTGAGTTCAACCAATCATGGATTGAAGTTATTTAAAAAAAGTTCAGAAAAGCAAACAGAGCTTGAATTTGTCACTCACCAGCAGCTATTTGCATAGCATTTACATTGTGTTTACAGCAGTTTACATAGTGTTTACACTGTATTAGGTGTTATAAGTAATCTAGAAATGACTTAGATTATACAGGAGGATGTGTATAGGTTATATGCCAGTTTATGTAAGGGTCTTGAGCATCTGTGGGTTTTAGTATTGGCGAGGCTTCTGGAACCAATTTCCCACAGATACTGAGGGATGGCTGTGTGCTCAAATAACCAATTTTCAGAATGAAAATGGACATTGTGGACATTATAGACATTAAATGATAATAAATGAACAGGTTAAGCAACTGTATGAGAGTAACTTTTAAAAAATTAAATAAGC